TGTTAAGTATTATCCACATACAACAATTATACATTGTTCAAAAGTTTGGGTTTGGAAACTAATACTGATCATGCATTAAACTGATCAAAAGTGACAGAAAAGGCATTTATACTTTTTATACGAAAGATTTCTATTTGAAATAAATGCTGTTCTTTAGAACTTTCTATTCATCAAAGAATCCTGAAAAAAAAAAATTCTTAGTTTCCGCAAAAAAATGTTGTTTTCAACACTGATAATGATAAATGTTTTGTTGAGCAGCAAATCGGCATATCAGAGTAATTTCTGAAGGATCATGCAACACTGAAGGCTGGAGTAATGATGCTGAAAATTCAGCGCTGCATCACAGGAATAAATTAGATTTTAATGTATATTAAAACATTATTTTACATCATAATAATATTTCACAATATTACATTTTTCCCTGTATTTTTGATCAAATAAATGCAGCCTTGATGAGCAGAAGAAAATCCTGTAAAAAACATTAAAAATCATTCTGATCTCAAACTTCTGAACGGTAGTGTATTTATTGAAAACTCCCAAAAACATTTCTATGCTCATTAGGGCTGCATTTATTTGATCAAAAATATAGTAAAAACATCATATTCAAACATATCTGTTTTAATGTAATGTAATTTAAAATGTAACTTATTCCTGTTTTGGCAAAGCTGAATTTCCATCAGTCATTGCTCCAGTTTTCAGTGTCACATTATCCTTCAGAAATCATTCTAACATGCTGATGTGGTGCTCAAGAAACACTTATTATTATTATTATTATTATTATTATTATTATTATTATCAACAGTTGTGGTAAATAATATTTTGTGGAAATGATGTTTTGTTTTTTTCAGGATTCTTTGAACAGAAAGTTCAAAAGAACAGCATTTATTTGAAATAGCAATCTTTTGTAACATCAAATGTCTTTACTATCACTTTTAAACAATTTAATGCATTGTTACTGAACGAAAGTATAAATTTTTTAATAATTCCCACATTTTGGAATGGTTGTGTAGTTAGTCTAAATGTAGTTAGTCTCTCATGACAATTTTACACATTTTTTAAGCAAGCAGTGTTGTATAAAGTGTTTTATATGTAAATGAGCTCTTTTATGATTGGCTAGCCTCTGCAGACTGGCACACTTCACTGTTTCACTCATCAGATCAGACTGAGCTGCTGAATAGTGAATAAGCAGTTATGTAAACGTTAACATAACCTTGTTATAAACATTATGTAAACACCAACCACCTAGTCAATTAGTGAGGTCTGCTTTGTTTTAGCTGTTGTTGGTTTTTTTTTTTCTTAAAAGTGGTGCTTCACAGGGAATGAATTTAGAGACTGAACGCAACTTCTCTGAGAGGTTTTTAGCATGCTGGCAGCTGACAGTAGTTTAGTGTGCTGTTAGACTGTCAGCATGGTTTAAGTCACCTCTCTACATTCATCCCCTCTAAAACACCAGCACTACCGCCAGCAGAGCGCCGCTTGTGTCACAGATCCACCGCATTCAACAACATATTTCAAGACGATTAATGTCAGACTTGTTGAACGGAGGATGTGCTGTGAACTGCGAAGCTTCTTTGTGAAGAGATTCGTTTTGTGTAATAAAGGATTGTAATAATTTTAGCCTCAGACAACCCACCGAATGGTCGATTATGTAGTTTTGTACTTCCATTGTCAACATAGTACATCAAACTCTTATTTCAAAGATAGAAAAATCCCGTCTTCCATTACATATCCCTTTTGACAGCTGGATAAAGATTGCACAAACTTTAGTTCCCAGAATTCAAGTTAATAATGAAAAATAAGGGGGCTGCTTATTTGAAACCATTAGTTTTTCTCTTTCTGCTGGCTATGAGCTGTAGAGACAGCGGTATAAATCAGACAGACGTGTCTGATGGGCTGCCCCACAGCCAGTGTACCCCACAGGACCCTCTCCTCTACGCCGCTCTGCTCTCAGGAAGAATACTGGTGGAAGTCAAGGGAAAAGAGTACAGGTATAGAAAATGAAATAAGAGGGGTGATGAGTTTAAAGATCAGAGGACAGCTTAGTAACCTGAAAAAAAGAAAAGAGGAAAAGGGAACATTGGAGGGAAAAGCCATCCACAGGTGAAATGACTGGTCAGATCTCTGGTCTGGTTGTGTGAAAACATGCTACTGTAGAAACTCCACAAAAGCAAATATATTTCTCTTTTAATACCAAAGCTCTGTTCCAAAACCTAGCAACCTTCATAGACAGCATCCCGTGACTAGTTTGAAGCCCTCTACATATAATTATTATTATTTATGTATATTAATTAAATAGATACATTTGATTTCTGAAGGGTGAAGTGACACTGAAGACAGGAGTAATGGCTGCTGAAAGTTCAGCTTTGTCATCATAGAAATAAATGACATTTTAAAATACATTAAAATAGAAAATAGTTATATTAAATTGTAATGATATTTCACAATATTGTTGTTTTCACTGTATTTTTCATCAAATGAATGTGGGCTTAAAATACTTTTCAAAAACCGACACCTTACTGACCCCAAACATTTGAATGGCAGTGTATATAATATTATATATAATTATTTCAATAAATGTTTAATTACATTTTTATTTTAAAAAAATTTAATCAGAAAAATTTTTTAATGAAATATCTATGATCATATTTAAGAATATTATTTCTCTCCCCTTAATGCATTCCACATGTGATGCTGGCTTAGAATTGAGCCAAACTGGGGTATTTTAGGAGACGGTACGTTTCGTAAAAACCTTTTCTGTTGGTGGAGTGCCCATGCTGCCTTTATGCTTTCTCTGTAGGTTTTGGACCATAGCTAATTATGCTAGCAAGTCTTGTGTGTGTAGATGTTTCACACTTCTCTCTCTCCCCATTGTCTTTTTCAGATTAACCAACAGATGTCTGGAATGAACCTGAACGCTTCTGGTGCTCCAGTGGCATTTGGGCCACCTGGTGCCCCCATGGGCGGCTGGGTGGCACCCCCCTCCGGTCAGACGGCTATCATATTTGTGACTACCTCCTCCTTTTCCTATCTTCTGTAGCCCGATGTCCCAGAACCCTGTAGCAGATATTGTATAGACCCATGTAATGTATGTAATCATGAGATAGACGATCCCCTCGCCCCCTCTCTCCGGTCTCTCACCCCACTGCATCTGTGTAGCTCCATGACAAACTCCATCTTTACTGTGATGTTTTAATGTGTGCGTTACAGAGAAGCACAGTGAGTGAAAGACGCTTCTGGTGCTCCAGTGGCATTTGGGCCACCTGGTGCCCCCATGGGCGGCTGGGTGGCACCCCCCTCCGGTCAGACCCTCAGCACCCAGCTCTGGAAGTAAATGAATGAGGGAAGATGGGGGACAAGGGGCACCACATCCCTCCATCTCTCCTCTCCTCCTCCACCACCACTTGCACCCAGAGTTTTATTCATGTACTGTAATTTTTTCCCCCTTTCTCTTTCCAACCATTACTACTCTGGAGAGCATCGATTCAACCTGCCCTGTGTATTGATCAAGTGAGCGAGAGTATGAAGTGTAAGAGACTGGCAGCTTTGACCGTCTTATTTGCAATTATTTTTTTCTTATATATATATGAGATAGACGATCCCCTCGCCCCCTCTCTCCGGTCTCTCACCCCACTGCATCTGTGTAGCTCCATGACAAACTCCATCTTTACTGTGATGTTTTAATGTGTGCGTTAACAGAGAAGAGTGAAAAGTGAAAGACAAATAAACCTGGACGACTGTACAGCTGTGACGGCTAACGGGAAAAAAAAAGGGGGGGGGAGGGGGGTTGTGGGTCAATAGAAAGGGGCTCGGGGAAGGAATTATCGTTCTAGCCAGCTAGTTTTGAAAAGTAAGGACAAAAGCATGCAGTCAAACACGTCAGTCTCGCCGCTGTAGCAGAGCTTCTATCCTCTCAGACAGGTCTCTCTGCTGTGCAATAATATAAAGATCCCCACCGTGTCATCCAGGTTTATTTCTATAATGTGTTTACATTTTCTGGTGCCTAGTACAGAGACAGAATATTGTTATTTCCGTGCATTAAACAGTGAATAGCCATGAACTATTGTGTGATCATTTTGTCTAAAGACGCATTTATTGTAAAGTTATCTTTTCGTTTTTTCCCCTTTTTTTTTGCTTTTAAAGAGGGTCGTTTGGAATAAAGACAGTTGTAATCCAAAAGTTCTGTCCTTGTAGTGGTGTCTCACACTTTAGACGGTATTTCCAGGGTTTTTCCATCCACTATTCCTTTTATTTTCGTGGACGGGTCGATTCTCTTCAGCACCGCTCAACCTCTTTGTACATTATTCAAGCAGCTGGTCCTTTTCCTCCGTTCACAGACATTGATCTGATTCTCCGAGTGTCCAGAGTCTGAAAATGGTAGTTGACTACCGCATTGGGAATAAGATCAAGTTTTCAGGTACAGTTGCCATTTGAAAAACCCCTTATCCATGGTTTCTACTCTACCACGTTACAGGTAATCCAGTGTGACGCCACAGTGAGAAGCCCCAGAAGATACATTGCGTGTCAGTAGAGAATCCCAAGACAGCTTGGCATGTCTTTTCCACCAGAGCAGGTATCCTAAAGTTCAAAGGTGGCCATCGATTTGGAAAGTGCTGATGATGGCTGGCCTTCATCCAGTGTTATATGACAGTCTTAGTGCAGTGTTGCTCGCTAGACCTCTATATAGACAGAGTCCTGTTGCCGTTTTGTTTCATTACCCAGGTTGACCTTCTCAGTGCGGGTATGCCAGACCAGGACCTGAAAGAAACCATTTGAAATCAGGTATTTTAGAATACAGGAACCAAGCACATATTAAGCACATGTATATTGTATGTACCAAGGCAGTTTACCTTCATTACTATAAATGGGACTGCCCATGAAACACTTTACCAACCTCAAATAAATGCTTTTTAATGCTATTTGAGCCAAAGAAACAACATAAATGGGTTCAGTTCATGTCATTTAAAAGTGCATTTGACAAGCCGTTTGTAAGATTTCTTTATTTCCCCATTCAAGTAAGATTAGTATTGGTCTTGAATCCCTGAAAGAGCTTTCTGGAAGGGTTGCAAATATGGCCACCAAATGACTTTCCTTGACAGGGATTTTGAAAGAAATGACACGTACATGGGTACATCATAACAGAAAATGAGGTCATTGCGTGATCTCTCAGCAGAGATGTTTTAGGCTGTTGGTGCGTGAAGGTTGCTGGAATGGGATCTCTCGGACTGGTTACATGTCTTAATTATATCAGATAGAGGCTGTGCAGGGAACGAGCACAGTTACATTGCCGCACCCAGGTGTGACGCATCATTTCCTGAACACATGGAACTGCAGATTGGCTTGTTTTGTAAAACAAGGCTAATTTAGCAGAACCATAAGAGATAATTAAGGTGCACTGTGGAGCGGCAACCCAGAAAGTAACCAAAGTGTCCTGTGACTTGATAACAAGATGTATCCCTCTGGTAGATCCCGTAATACTTTTTATGAAGGTGTCTGACACTTTACTTTGCTGTCTACTAACCCCGTTGTTCCCTTGATAAATATTCTAGGGGTGGGCGATATACCTGAACACACAATTAACTGGTAGAGCCTTTGGACTATCATCTCTATTGCGGTTACACGCTCATGTGACATTGCTCTGCTACGTGGTCACAAAAACATCGTTTGCACCCATTTTCAAGCATTGTGGTTTAAAAACAAGTCATTTTAAGCCGTTGAAATGCAGTCAGCAGTGAATATGTGTGTGCTGTCTGAGAGACTGTTTCTGAGCGCTGTCAGAGAGGCACGTGAAGATGGTGCTCTTAGAGCATGGGAGTATTGAACAGAGTTATTTTTGCCGCTTTATAGGCTTTGAAAGGATAAATACACACATTTGTATGTCAAAATGCCCGTCTTTGCAAGTATCCTCATAAACACAGTAATTTAGTTCTTAAGTGAAAGCAAACAGCTGAGAAAGAAAGCACATGTGTAGCAGTATATTGGATCCGGGCAGCTCTTAAAGTGACAGCAGTCTAATATTCCTGCTCTCTGTCATTCACGTTAAACAAACAACAACAAAAAAGACAATCTCTCACTGCTCTTGACTAAATGACTTTTGTAACTTTAATAAGAAGAAATGTATATTTAATTTACACAGTGAAGAATATGCAGTGTTTTATTCATTTGATTACTTTATAATGTATGTAGCATTTCTTATTTATTTGTTCTACTGTAGTGTTTTGTCCTATTGCTTGTAATTAGTTTCTTCTTATTTAATCACTAACTGTTGTCTTCAGTGAGCTTACGTTTTTTTTTTTTTTTTTTTAATTTAGGCTAGTAGCTATTAGTTTTTTATGATATTGACACTGGTGACAAGAATTATGAAATTTCTATGGTATCAAAACTTTTGATATAAGTCTGAAGGTCTGAGATTGACTAAATTGAGAACTTCCTGAACTGAATTGTAATTGGTTTGTGGGTGGTTAAACTTCATTAGTTGTGTTTGTGTGCGGCTGTCGAATACATTTGCCGCCCACAGTGATGTCTAATTTTTATAGGAAGAAAGTAATAATACATGAAGAATTAAACTTGTGCGCTTCTGCTTTCATATGTAATAAATCCTTTCATTTTTAATGTCGATAATGTAATGGCTACAAATCAGTGCGCAAAGGTTGAAAGCAGTGATATAACAGCATTGTGGAGGTGTGAAACCAGCAGTCCCCATGGGCTCTAGTAATTGTAAATGAGTTTCAAGAAAAAGTTATTAATATTTAAACCCTTCATACTTTTTGGACTAATCTTGGAGCAGTCTTAGTCTTTGCATGTGCATCTATTAGAATATTGTAAGACAAGTGTGCTGGAGATGTCATTATTGCAATGTGTGTCGTACTCTTGTTAAATACTCGGATAGACAGATTTCAATTTGTACAGAGTGAAACCCCACTTCGAGCGATCCAGGAATAAGAGAAGGCACTCTGTCCTTCTGCTCCTCTAGATCCTATCTCCCCTCTTCAATACCTTGTTTTGGCTTCTAAAAATAGAAATAGAAAATTTGACCATTTTAGCTTCAGTAATATCAAGTAATGTGTCATTTACAAGGCATTAACATTTTCATGGTTTAGACTCATTGATATTAGTTAAGGCATTCGGTACACTACCATTCAAAACTTTGGAGTCAGTAAGGTTTTTCTCTTCTTTTTTTTTTCTCTCTCTCTCTCTTTTTTTGCTCATATTCATTTATTCAGCAAGAACACATTAAACTGATCAAAAATGAGAGTAAAGACGTATAATTATTACACAAGATTTCAAAATGAACTTTCTAGTCATCAAATAATCATGAAAAAAATGAAATTTGAATAATATGAAGATGAAATTTCAACAAATATATTAAGCAACACAACTGTTTTCATTGGTAATAAAAAAAAATTTTGAGCAGAAAATCGGCATATTAGAATGATTTCTGAAGGATCATGTGACACTGAATACGAGTAATGGCTGCTAAAAATTCAGCTTCACCATCAAAAAAATTACATTTAAAAATGTTGAAATAGAAGAGTTATTTTAAATTATAATAATATTTGACAATATTACTGTTTTTATGGATTTTTGATCAAATAAATGCAGTCTTGGTAAGAATAAAATATTTCTGTCAAAAATATAAAAAAATCCTCCCAAACTTTTGTATGGTAGCGTATGAGCTAACAATTAACAATTTTTCTATTCTCTTTCTATTTATTCATTCTATGTAATTCATATCAATTCATAACATGATTAAAAATGCATTAGTGTATGTAGAAATTAATATTAACAAAGGTTATTAAATGCTTTTAAAGTATTGTTCATTGTTAATGTTAGCTATTGCATTAAGTGTTAAGTGTTACCAATAAACACACCTTAAAGTGATTTTCTACAAATAGGATAGAATCTTGCATGACATCAAAACTAATTGTTATAGCCTATAATTTTTCAAGTATTTTAGCTCTTAATAAAGGTGTATTACTCTTAGTTCCATTGCGAAAAAATATGAAAAATGTCTTGATTCCATTTGGGCTGTCCCGTATGAAACGATTTTCTCAAACAATGTTTGTGTTGAAGATTTTTCCGAGGGTTTCTTTTGAATCTAAACAGGATGAGCATCTGAAGCCTTGAGAGAGAATAATAATTTGAGCAATTGTGTTGTGCAGAGTGAAGCATGCTGGCAGGATCTGGTCTGCAGGAGCACGATTGAGATTGACATTAATAAATAAGAGAGTCTATGCACTGACTTCTGTAAATAAGCCTGTGAATCTCTCTCACACACCATCTTCACCTCTCCATCTATATGGCATGTTTGCCATCCCTCTGCCAATCGCAAACACATTCCCTTTGCCCTCTTCTTCTTCCTCGCTCCCTCTGTCCCTTTCCTCCTTGTCACATCAGTTCAGTCTGATTACTCGCATAAGATGACCCACCCAAGCCTCCCTGTGCTTCATTTGAAGTGCATGCTGGGAGTTAGCCATATCTCCCTGCCTGCAGGCTTAGTCACAGTCATCAGCTGGGACCCTCAAGAACGCTTCTACAAATGTGACCTTTCCGAAAGACATCCCTGGCAGTGCTCCAC